TAATTCTCTCACCAAAGGACAGATGCATGAACTCGCTATTATAAAATGTCAAGGAAAGATTTACACATAGATTGAAACTTTTTTATGATTACCGTATTGAGAAGAGTTATTGTTGTTACTAGGTGATGCTGAGTTTAGTACTGCTCATAGCAGCCCTATGAATGACAGATCTGAACCTAGTCTTATCTTGTGCAATCCTCAGAGTCCATTGTTGTAGTAACTGTGTCCATCCAACTCTGATTGAGGGTCTTTCTCTCTTTCATCAGTCCTCCACTTTTCCAAGCGTGATGCCCCTTTCCAGGGAATAGCAACATGCCCAAAGAATGTTTTTTTTAAAATCATCTTTACTTCCATACAGCACTCTGGCTGCACCTTCTCCAATGCATATATGTTTGTTCGTTTGGCAGTCCATGGACATTCAGTACTCTTTTTCAACACTGCAGTTCAAAGACATCAGTTCTTCTTCTGTCATCTTCATTCATTGTCAGCTCTCAGCAGCATAGCAAGTGATTATAAAGACCATGGCCTTAGCCAACCAAGCACTCCTTACTTTTCAAACAGACATCATTGCTTCAAAATGATTTTGAAAGGTCCCTGACTGCAGACCTTCCTGGTAAAGTAAATGTGACTGCTTGTACCAAGTGTATTGATTGTGGATCCAACTAAAATGAAGTTGTTGACCTTCAGTCTTTTCTCCATCTATTATGCTCTAGCATATCAATATGTTGGTGAGAACGTTTTGTTTTCTTGACACTGAGAAGCCATCCATATTAAAGATGTATTTTTTTGTTGTTGTTGTTTTACCTAACCAATCACTTTTACTAGATTATATAAAGTTATAAAATGCAATATTTAAAGAACATTTTAAAATTTATAAAACTTTCCTCCAATTACACATTTTATTCTTATTTTATTTTATTATTTTTGTGTGTGAGTGTACTGTCAAATCAGATCTGACTGGTACAGGTGGGGATTGTCCCTTCCCCGGCAGAGCATCTGGTGGATTCGAACCGTGAGCCTCTGGGATTGTAGTTGCAGCTCCTTGCCACTAGGCCACCAGAGCTCCCCTATTGTTTTTTTTTTTTAACACATTTTATTTTTTACAGTCATAAAACCTGCAAAAAGATTTATGAGTAATTCATGTTTTAAAAATAGAAAATATTCAGTGAACTAGTTATTGATATTGCTGTCAGGTGCCATCAAGTAGAGTACAACTCATAGTGACCCTATTAACAATAGATCTGAACCCTGTCCTATCTTGTGCCAACCTCTCATAATCTCTTTCACAATCACGTCCATCACTGTAGTCCTGGTGTCAGTCAGTCTGGTTCAGTGTCTTCATCTCTTTCGCTTCCCCCTCACCTTTCCAAGAATGATGTCCTTCTCCAAGAAACAATATAAAGAATGTCAGATAAAATCATCCCTGTTTCCTAGGAGCACCCTATTGTACCTTCTCTAAGATATATCTGTTTGTTCTTTTGGGGTTTTGCGCATGGGATATTCAGTACCTGTCAGAAAATTAAAAGATTTATTGTGATGTGAAAGTCAGCTGTTAGGGGCCTCTCCAAAGTACTGAAGAGCAAGGTGTCACTCTGGAGACTAAGGTGCACCTGACACAGGCCATAGTCTTTGCAGTCATTTACTATGGATCAGAAAGCTGGACTATTAGTAGGGAGGATAGAAGGAGAATTGATGCCTTTGAGCTGTGGTGTTGGAGAAGAGTGTTGCATATACCATGCACTGCTAAGAAAATGAACAAGTTCCTCCTAGAGAGGGTTAAACCAGGCTGCTTCATGGAGGCAAGGATTCTGCAGCTTCATCTAACTTACTTTGGACATGTTGCAAGGAGGGACCACTCCTTCGAGAAAGATGTCATACTTGAGAGGGTGGAAGGACAGCACAGGAGAAGATGCTCTATGAGGTGGATTGATTCAGTGACTGGGGTAATTGGGGTGGGTGTGTCAGAGACTGTGAGGTTGGCACAAGATAGAGCAGGGTTTAGGGCGGTTGTACATAGACTCGCTATGAGTCGCAGGTGACTCGGCGGTACATAACAACAACAACAACAACAACAACAACAACAACCACCACCCTCACTACAGATTTTCCCAGTGCAATATGTCTTCTGATCTGACTGCTGGTATTCAGTGTATTGATTGTAGATTCAAATAAAATGTAGTTGTTAACAGTGTCAACCCTTTCTCCAGCCATCATAATGTTGACCATAGATCCATTGGTGAGGATTTTTTTCCCTTGACATTTATGTGCAATCCATATTGAAGATTGCAGAGTTTATCTTCTTTTTTTCTCTCTCTCTTTTTTTTATTGGGAAAAACATATTGGGGGTACAAGGAGGTGAGGGTTGGGGGCATAAAGGTGAGGATGGGCCAGGATGCAGTTGCAGAGCTGCACAGTTTGGCCGGTGGGGTGGAGCAGGTGAAGGAAATGATGAGGGTCTAGAGGGGATCAGATACTACAGAGGAATGACAAGCATTTTCCAATGGTAATTAAACCAACTGTCTTATTGATTTGGGAATTAGATGCAGACTCTCTGGCTTCTTCATGCTGAACAGGGGCATAGATGTAAAGGGGGGAAGGGAGGACTCTTTATCACCTTACTGGTGGTCTTGGGTTAAAGCTGCTTGCCTTCTTGCTCTGGTAGAAGATATTTTCCTGTCATTTGCTCCCCTCTGGACTGCAAAGTGTTTTCCCAGGTGGGTCCAGTGGGGATGGCTGGTTGAACCGAGAGGCTCCATCCTCCTTTGCTTCCTTAGCTGTCAGTTGTATTTCCTTTTTGTCACTGGTACTGGGTTCAGGGCCAATTCTGCAGTAAAACTCAGAGTTAAGGTTACCTATAGGAAAGGGAGCAAAAATAGAACAAACTTGTGAGTTACAAATAGAAGGACTTTGAGGGTGTTGCTTTCAGGTTTACTGGGGGGGAGGGTGGCAGAAGGTGGCCTAGATAACATTGGATACCCTAGGCATTCTTTTTTTTCCTCCTTCCCCACCCAGGGGTCAATCTGGGGACAATGGCACTATCTGGGAACTGAGGAGCTCACCCTAAGGGCTGCAACGGCTCGCCCCGAGCCAAGGGCCGAGGGCAGCCCGCCCCGGGCAGAGGGCCATGATGGCTCACCCCGAGCCGGGGGCCGAGGGCAGCCCATCCCGAGCAGGGCAACACCCCCCAGGAGCTGGCTGGTATACTCCCCCTCCAATTGCCCCTA